CAGAAGCCCCTCTTTAGGTATTTTTTAGGGGGGCGCCCTTGGCCCCCCCCACCCCCACCCCCCACCCCCCGCCTTGCTTCCGCTTTTGCCCGTTTGTAGTCAATTTCCTCCCTCCCGGTCCTCGTCCGCTCCGCCAACGATGCCTTCAAGGCACCAGCAGTTCGTTGGCCCTCTTTGTTTGCGGCCGGGCCAAGGCGGACGACGCGAAGCATTTAAAATAAACTCTAAACCCAAAACCCCAAATCCTAAATTTTAACCCCTCATCCCTAATCCCCAAACACTAAATCCTAAACCCACAACCCTAATCCCCAAACGCTGAACTCTAAACCCTAAACCCGAACCCCAAATCCTAAACCCTAATCCCCAAACCCTAAATCCTCAACCCCCAACCCCCTTCCCCAAACCCTGAACTCTAAACCCTAAACCCTAAACCCTCATAGTACCCCTTATAGAGCCCAAACCCTAAATCCTAAACCCCCCCACCCTAATGAACTCTCAACCCTATTCCCCAAAAGGGCCCCCAGGCGCCTCGAAGATTGCCAAAGCTCTGGTCCAGACTGCGGCCGTCGCGCACGCCTGGGCCATCGCCCGGGGTTTGGTGGGGTGGCCGCCAGAACTCGGGAGGCTTGCGGGTTCTATGGTTTAGGGTTTGGGGTTTAGGATTTGGGAGTTTAGGGTTCAGGGAGTTTAGGGAGTTTCGGGTTTAGGATTTAGGGTTTAGGGAGTTGAGGGTTTAGGGTTTAGGATTTAGGGTTTAGGGTTCTTGTTTTCTGGTATCGGATATTCGCAGGTAGAGGATTACAGGGTCCGGGTATGAACTTTTTTGGAGTTTGAAGGCGGTAGTGCGTCTTTTGTTGGCATCCGCTTCGGGTTCAAAGCTTTGAGGCTAGGTCAAGGGTTCATTACCCTAAACCCTAAACCCTAAACCGAAAAGGGTTCTAGGGCTTCGGGTTTTCATGTCTTGGAGTTGATCCCAGAAAGTTGGAACATGGGTTTAGGATGATTAGTGCTGGGATCCCCGTTGCTTTACCTTAAGGGTTTAGGGTTTGGGGTTTAGGGTTTAGGGTTTAGGGTTTAGTGCTGGGATCTCCGTTGCTTTACCTTGAGGGCATGAGGATAATGATGCTCCAACTTTTTGGCTTCTGCTTTAGAGCCTTGGGGCTTGGGATGCTGGGACACTTGGAGGTTCATGGGTAGTGAAAAAGTGGTGTGATAAGTCCCCTAATATGGGCTTATAAGTATAGCTACCCAATTATAACTGCAATTATACCTACCCATGAACCCTGAACCCTAAACCCTTATAGTAACCCTTATTGATAGTAACCCCAGTTTGCAGTTTGCTACCCATGAACCTCCCAGCAAGCTTTGCCTTAAGCTTGGAAGGTCGCGTTAAGGACGTGGCGTTTCGGCATCGGGGGTTCAGGGCGGGGTTGACTTCATGTAGGGGCCTTAACAATTGATTAGACTAGGGTTTTGGGGTATACTATACTATAACTCCAAAAAGGAACCCCAAAAACAATGAATCAGAACAGGCTTCTTGAGGTATACTATAGCTATAGCTCCAAGAAGGAACCCCTAAAATAGTATAGGTAATGATTAAGGCCCCCATATTAGCTGCTGAAAAGCCTTTAGTTTCGGAAACCCTAAACCCTAAACCCTAAACCCCTAAACCCTAAACCCTAAACCCTAAACCCCTAAACCCTAAACCCTAAACCGGCCTTCCACGCAGGCTGTTGCGCAGAATTCCGAAGCGATCCTCGGCCTATACTGTAGTCAAGCCCTGAGAACCCTAGAAGGAAACTAAACCCTAAAACTCCCTCCAAACCCGAAGAGACCTCTAAACTCTAAAAAACCCCAAAAGACCTCTAAACCCTAAAAAAACCCTAAAAGACCCCTAAACCCTAACAAAGCCCTGAAAAACCATCTGAACCCTAAACCCTAAAAAAGCCCTAAAAGACCCGTAAACCCTAAACCCAAAACCCTAAACCGTAAACCCTTGGACCCCTTAACCCTAAAAAAAAAACCTTCAACCCAAGCCCGGCTCCTGGACGGCCGTGGTGGAGTGGAAGGCGTTGGGACGCAGGCCGCGTGCTTCGAGGCCCGCGAAGAAGAACCTCGGGGGCTCTATAAGGGGTACCATGAGGGTTCAGGGTTTAGGGTTTAGGGTTTGGGGGTTTAGGGCTTGGGGTTTAGGGTTTAGTGTTCAGGGTTGAGGGTTCAGGGTTCAGGGGTTTAGGGTTTAGGGTTCAGGGTTTAGGGTTTGGGGTTTAGGGTTTAAGGTTTACTTGGGGGTTCATGGGTAGTTATAAATGGGGTTATAAGTAGGGTAACTGTACTCATAACCCATATTAAGGGACTTATAACCCCACTTATAACCCCCACGAACCTCCAAGCATTTGGGGTACTACGAGGGTTTAGGGTTTAGGATGTAGTGCTTAGGCTACCATAAGGGTTTAGAGTTTAGGGTTTAGTGTTTAGGCTACCATAAGGGTTTAGAGTTTAGGGTTCAGGATTTAGGCAACCATAAGGGTTTAGGGTTTAGTGTTTAGGCTACCATAAGGGTTTCCATAAGGGTTACCAGGGGACTTTTTCAGAGGGGGTTTAGGGTCTAGGGTAGAGGAGTGTTGTAGTGTCTAAACGTTAGGGTTTGGGGATGTAGAATTCACGGTTCGGTGTTGCGTTTAGGAAGCTTTTGAATGGATGATTTTAGGGTTCCTATTCTTCATAAGCTCTTTCTTTGCGATTTCGGGTTCAGGGGTTTGGGGGTGTAGGGGCTTCAGGGCTTTATGGCTTCGGGGGTCTAACCTTACTAGTAACCCTGAGACTAACCCTTATGGTAACCCTTATCGTAACCCTTATGATAACTTTGGTGGTAGCCTAACAACTTAAACCCTTAAACGCTAAACGCCTAAGCCCCTAAACCCTAAACCCTAAACCCTGAACCCTGAAAAACCCTAAACCCTAAACCCTCAACCCTAAACCCTCAACCCTAAACCCCTAAACCCTGAACCCTAAACCCTGAACCCTCAACCCTCCTGTTTTGGGCTTCCTAGGGCCCTGAGGGCCCTGAGCAAAGCGGCAGTGCCAGCTCCCACTCGCCGGCCCGGGCGCAGGCGCCCATGACCTCTGGGCTCCCACTTGGAGGCTCATGGGTAGTTATAAATAGGGTTTAGGGTTTAGGGTTTAGGGTTTAAGATTTAGGGTTTAGGGTTCATGGGTAGTTATAATTGGGGTTTCAAGTAGGGTAAGTATACTTAGAACCCATATTTGGGGACTAATAACCACACTTATAACTACCCATGAACCCTCCAAGCAACCATGGGAAGATGGAAGCAGAGTTGAGGGCTGAGGGCTTTGGGTTTAGGATTCAGGATTCAGGGTTTAGGGTTTAGGGTTTAAGGTTTAGGGTTTCGGGTTTAGGGGTTAGGTTTAGGGTTTAGGGTTTAGGGTTTAAGGTTTCGGGGTTTAGCATTTAGGGTTCAGGGGTTTCGGGTTTAGGGTTTAGGGTTTAGGGGTTTAGGGTTTAGGGTTTGGGGTTT